GGAGGTAGCGTACACTAGACGGGTGGAGGAGGCATGCGGTGGTGGTGTTGGCCTCAATGAGGGCCTCTCCTGGGCCTCCTAGGACGGCCCGTCAAACCATATAATGGAAGCATCCCATCCTCTTCGATTCCCTTTCCTCTTTCTCTCTTCAGCAAGCAATCAAACAACTAATTCCAGTTCTTCGTTTTTTCCCCTCCTCCCTTTTTTGTTCTTTCTTCTTTCCATAGAGCCGGTCTCTATCTTAATTCACACTCCAAACTAATACCCAATTTTTTGCAAATCATCACCAAAGTTGCCGGTCAACTTATCCCCTAGTAACGGAAATCTGGAATTTCTTGCTCAACGCACATTATTCAGCAAAACCACTTAATCGCAGCACCCGTTTCAACGTCAAACACCGCAATAATGTCGTCCACTCAACTCTCCTTCTCCCTTCGTGTTTCCTCCGGTGTCAAGACCGTCCACTTGCTCGGCTCCTGGGACGGCTACGTTGGCCAGCTCCCTCTCTCCAAGGACAAGACTTCCTCCAAGTCCGGCTCATGGAAGGGCACCTTCAAGTTTGGCGGCTCCACTCTCTCCGCCGGCTCCCGCTACTGGTACTACTACATCATCGACGGCTACCACGTTGCCCACAACCCCAGCGTCGCTTCCACCGTTGAGCCCACCACCGGCCGCGAGTTGAACATTCTCGACCTCCCCGCCGGCTCAAAGTCCTCCAGCAAGTCCAGCTCCAAGTCCAGCAGCACCAGCTCCTCCAAGTCTTCCTCAAAGTCCTCTTCCCACTCCTCGTCCCGCAGCTCCCGCCACTCCTCCAAGGACAAGGACTCCAAGTCAAGCCGCCACCGCTCCTCGTCGCGCGACATCCCCAAGGGACGCCCCCTCTCCGTCTCCCAGATCAAGGCCCCCAAGCCCATGTCGCCCCACGCCACCCAGCACATCCTCAACAGCGACTACTGCGACGACGAGACCATTGAGGAGCTCACCGCCCGCTTCGGCGCCGCCGGCTTCGACGAGGAGGACATCGTCACCGACTTCTCCGCCTCCGGCTCCCCCGTCTCCTCCACCGGCTCCAGCCTCTCCTACCGCTCCGACAGCTCCAGCCCCAGCTCCTCGCTCTCCGGCTACAGCACCCCCGGCTCCGACGTCAGCACCTGCACCTGCGAGCGCTACGGCATCACCCGCAAGGGCGACCGCGTCAAGATCGACTGCGGCGGCGCACGCTGCGGCTACGACGACAGCTCCGACTGCTCCGACTCCGAGTCCGAGGAGGAGGAGGAGTACGCTCCCTCCACCACCCGCCGCCACGGCATCGTCGTCAGGTGAAGAGCTTTCAATCCTGCCCTGGGATGGGAATGACCACAACCACCAACAAAAGGAAAACCACCAAATACACGAAGATAGAAGGCCCCCATGTGGCCCGTACATTCATTTCGTCGCGCGATTGCCCCGCGCTCGCCGACGTGCTAATCATTGCATCCACCGAGGAAAGGCAGTTGCGAACCCGAGCCGGTCTCGGGCCCGCCCGCCTCCTCGTTCCAAGTGGGTCGATGCTGCGACCCCGCGCCGCGGTGGCCGCCGCCGTCGCTGTCTCCGGACGACGACACGGCTGCCGCGTGCGTGAACAACACAACCGTTTCGTTTGTCATGTTCCTCACTTGACAACAGCGGAGCCATCCTTGCCATTCACCTTCATAGTTTGGAGGAGAATGCGAGAGACCAAGACTCCCAGGGGTTGGAAAAGGAGCCAGCGCATCCGCCGCTCCTGGGGATGAGACCGTTTTCAAGCGGCTGCCGGGGGCTGAGCTTTTGGAAAGCTCCCGGGCATGGCTGCTTCATGGAAGCAAATTCATGTAGATAGTTAAGATCACCGCCACAGGCGGCTATGGGTAGATGCCGATTTGAATCTATTCATCATTTGAACGCAACCTCAACTGTGCATCCGCTGCGTGACAAAGTGAACACTGCCCGTCTTAACAGAGTGTTGTAATAAAAAAGCAGATCATAATACCGAGATTACAATTTGAATAGGCCTTTTTGTGTAGAATGTCCAGATTCGAACTCTTCCCAAAAACCTTCCCAGAAACGTTGTGGTAAACTTCGAATTGCCGAAATTGGCAAGTGGGTGATGTCTACGCCGGCAGACCGGGACGGAGTACAAGACGCCCTTCGGTGTCCACGCCGGAGGTGGTCCGTCCTCCTTCTATACCTTAGCATAAATGCCCCGAAAGGTCGGTGCTCGGGAGAAAGACCCCCTAAAGAAAGGCGGTGGGGGGTCACTACCTTAACAACGTCAGAAAAGGGGAGACCGGGCAGTGGGGGCACTAGAGCGTTAGGACAAGGGTGTGTGTCGCTGTTGCAACCCCGCGATGTCAAAGAAATAGGTGCGGGGACTCCACGTCCCTCTCTCTCCTCTCTTATTCTCTCCTGGCCTAGCTCAAACGAAACGTCCTCCTACAACACATTGACGCTGGATTTTTCGTCTTCAGCCTCACTCTAGACACATTCGTATCAGAAGAAACGTATCAATTGAAGCTCCAGAATTAACATCCAAACCTCCCATAATCTCGACTCGGCAAGCAGCCCCCCTTCCAAAACAACCCCCCCCTCCAAAGCCCACCATGGCCGCCGACTACCCCATCATCGACTCCCACATCCACCTCTACCCAGAGCAAGAAATCGAGACCCTCGCCTGGGCGACGCCCGAAAACCCCCTCGCGAAGCAACACTCTGTCGAAGACTATGTCGCCGCCACCGGCTCCCCCGCAAACCTCAAGGGCTTCATCTTTCTCGAAACAGACCGCAAACACGACCTCGAAGCCGGCGCCCGCGATGCCTCGGGCTGGGAGTTCCCCCTGATGGAAGTCTCCTGGCTCCGCCGCATCGCCGAGGGCAAACCCCGCGACGGCCAGGGTCACGGCGCCGACCACGCCAGCCTCTGTCTGGGCATCGTCCCCTGGGCTCCCCTCCCGTCCGGCGCCGCCGCCATGGAAAGGTACCTCGACCACGTAAAGACTGTCGCGGGCGATGCCGTCTGGCCCAAGATTCGCGGGTTCCGGTATCTGTTGCAGGATAAGCCGCACGGCGCGGGGTTGACGGACGATTTCATCGACAGCTTGAAGCTCCTGGGCAAGAGGGGCTTCGTCTTTGACATGGGCGTCGACCAGCACCGCCGCGGCAACAAGCAGCTCGACGAGGCGTTGGAGATTATCTCGCGCGCTCACGAGGGTGTTCCGGAGGAGGAGAAGGTTACCTTTGTCATCAGTCAGTCCTCCCTCCCTTTCCTCTCTCTCTCTCTCTCTTGTATCTCCCATGCCATTCTTTCCATGACCAGAAACTAACAAACATCACCCCCAACCAGACCACCTCTGCAAACCCGACCTCGGCATCATAAACACAACAGACCCCTCCTTCGTCCACTGGCGCACCGCAATCTACGCCCTCTCCAAATGCAGCAACACCTACATGAAGCTCTCGGGCGGCTTCTCCGAGATGCCCGACTCCCTCAAGAAACAGGACCCCAACGCCATCTTCGAGGCAATCTTCCCCTGGCTCGGCGTCGTCCTCGCCACCTTTGGCACCCGCCGCACAATGTTCGGCTCCGACTGGCCCGTCTGCACCGTCGGCGTCGACGAGGCCTGGCGCAAGTGGAAGCTCCTCGTCGAGCGCACCTGCTACATGGCCACCCTCGAGCCCGAGGACCAGGCCGCCTTGTTTGGCGGCACCGCGATCAAGGCGTATGGGATCGAGGGGCTTTGATGATGATGATGATGATGTTTTTGTGTTGTGTTGTTTGACCGCTGTTCTTATGATTGTGGCTTGAGTATAGTGGCTGGGTGGGTGGGCTCGCAAAGATCGGGGCTTGATGAGAAAGAATGAAATCGCTGGGTTTGCAGCGTCTAGAGATTACATCGCCAGTTTGGACCTGATGGTTTCACATTGGGGCGCAGGGATGGGGCTCCATGAGGATGATCGATATATTACGACTTTGCACACAGATACCACAAAAACAAATTCGTGTTTTTTTTTTTCCCTTCCTATATAATTACCATGTTAAAAAGGAACCAAAATGACAAAAGAGTTCACCCCCCCGGTGCTGGACTGGGGGCTACATCTCTGGCGCTCATGCTGGGATTCGAACTCGGGTACTCGTATGCGCTGAGCCTGTCGTCGAGTAGGCTGGTTGGCGATTTTAATTGTTGACCATTAACCATTCCACCACCCACGCCACAGTTTGACCTGACCCGTCGACCTAGACGGGCGCCTGCTGTGCTGGTGACAGAATTGGACTTGGAGGGGTATATGAGGGCTTGTTGTGTATTCGGGTGGTAGGCAGCAGAGGTATCGGATGAAAAGGTTCGCGATGTGGCTGGGTGAACCAGAGGAAGGAAGGTGCGTGAGTTGGTGGTGGCTGCATCGCATAATTCGAGGCCGACAGTATCTAGATAGTTTTAATAATTACGGTAAGGTCTCGTTCTTCCAGCTAGGCTATAGGGATCCTTAATTACTATTTACCTATATCAACTTAATGCTGGCCCTCATATGGGGAGGGTTATAAAGGACTGGCTTGAACACCGAGGGGTTTCTGTGATGCATTAGCCGCCGTATAGCTCTGATCTCTCCTCCATTGAGAACCTCTGGCCACATATGAAAAGCTGGATTGAGATGTTTCGCCTGGAGCTCTACTGGATGGACGAGGCGTCGTTATATCCCGCCGCCGTCACGGCGTTGGAGGCTGTCCAAATGAGAATACCACGCTTCTGAAGCTGTGCTCAGCGTACTTTATGAAACCCGTCGCTCTAAGGAACTTGTTGTTCCCCTCCTAAAGGTACGTGGGCTTTTGCTTTCGTAGAATTACACCCTTCACCGAGGAGATGATTTTGATCAAAAGAACATCCCCAGGGACACCATGTTTCTAATAGATCATCGTGTATTGTAATTCCTGCGAACCGTTCGATAAAGTGAATGTCTACATCTGAATGACTTCCTAACTCCTACGCCAATTACTTGGTCATGTCTGCTTGTTCAGCGCGTAACTGGGTTTGTGCGGCCCGCTCATCAAAGTTAGCGCCATAGACGTCGCCGAGGTAGATAGCGAATTCATCATAAGCCTTCTCAATGATGCGGAAATGATCGAGTCTGAGATGCACGAATGGGGAAGGATCGATGTCAGCCCTCAGATCACTATTGAGCGCATCGAACTCAGCCATGGCAAGTGCTGTCTGGCACGCATTGCGAATTTGGCGGCCGTTCCACCGTAAGCCCTGTTTCTTGTCGTCCCCATTACTCTCGAAATGCTTCTTCGCAAAGTCAATGATTGAATCCTCGTCGAGGAAGATTTTGCGACGTCTCAGATCGAATCTGTTCTTGATCAGGTCGAAGTTCAGCCTGAAGACATCCAGCGTTTTGTCGAGATCGAGTTTAGGGTAATAGAGGCTCATGTGGATTCGGGAAGCGAAGGCTTCATCGAAGTCACCGACACGATTAGTTGTAAGGAACAAAATTCCGGTGTAGTATTCCAACACTCGGAGGAAGACTGTGTTCATTTCAGTTAGCAGAGCCTTTGTACAGAGCGAGCATGATAGCCAAGCTTACTCGCAACGAGACCATTCCTCGTTAGGTCTTTCCGCTCCCTAGACGCAAGAAAGACCTCAGCTTCATCCAAGAGAAGAATGCAGTCCCACCTGCTGGCTAGTGTGAAGTTCTTCTCCAACTCTGTCTGAACTGTTGAAGCGGTCGTTCCGAGATCGCCTATATGCGTCAGATTTCACTCATAGCATTTCGACCGTGGAATTCTCACCGCAGGTAACCTGAAAAAGCGGTTTCTTGAAGGTTTCGGCCATGCCCTCTATAGAATCAATTCATACCATTAGCGACCGTCAAGTCAAGTTGGATGGAAGCGTGTATGATAAGCTGCCGTAGGAAACGACTGACCTGCTGTGGTGGTTTTCCCTACACCGGGGGCTCCGTGAAGGAGAATGATGAGGCCTTGTCCTATCAGGACCCCTATATTAGTTCTCTGACAAATACAGCCGATCGAAAATCAATGCTGTGCTTACCTTTTCCTCGAATGAGATCAGAAGACGCATCAACGTGGGGGTTTCGGTCAACCATTTTCTCCCTGGCCTTCTTGTCTCGGAAATGTTGTGTCACCAATGACTTGACCATCTCTTTGTGTCCTCCCGGAAGAACCAGACGCTCAAAGGCGTCTAAGGCACTGGTCCTGCTATCCTCATTCTCGCCCTTCAGATACGTGAGGTCGAGTTGCGCTAGATAAGACGTAATGCATCAGTTTCTCGACGACGACTAATGTCAGAGGCACAGTGGAATTTGAAAAGCAAAGGAAACGTCCTTACCCCATTGACGTTTTCTCAGGATGAATCCGAAGACTCTATAGCTCATGATTACAAGCTCGTCCGCGCCGGGTGTGCTCTTCGATTCGAGTAAATCTTTTAAAGCATGCGGGTATATAATGAGTGACCGGCGTTCCGTCGGAGATTGCGGGAATAGTTTAGCGATGAAATCCTCAGTCAGCCTGTCTTCGACAAATGAGTCGTCGAAAACGTATTGACTTCGGCAACAGATGGCATCGCAGTCGCTAGTTGTGTCATCTGTCTTGCTATCCTCAGTCGATGTGCTGATGAAGTCAACTTTCGGCTTCCAATCCTTGTCATGTTCGTGCGCATATGCTAGGGCTTCAGTAAAGTCGATCATGACTTGGCTGTCAGCATCCTGCCTTGTGTCGATAACATTACCTTTGTAATACATTGGCTTGACCTGGATCACGTCCCACAGCATCTTGCCTCTTTCCATCAGCCTTTCGCGGAATCCGTTCTCCCTGATCATCCGAAGAGGGTAGATCGGTAACGACTTGATTGGTTTGTCCGTGTCAAATCGAGGTATCTCAAAGGTCTTGGTTACAGGGCCAATATTCTCTCCGTCGAAGTCTATGTAGAGGCACTGAATGATGGCTGGCTTCTCTTTAGCGTTCTCTGAATTGGAATTTCGTATAAAGAGGTATGGTGGAATGACCTTGTGCTTGGGCATCGAGACGCGCAGCACACGGTAGGCCTGTTTATTAGCCTGGTCGATGACTTCCTCTCCTGGCTGAAAGAGATACCAGATGTCGCTGAATGTGACCTTCTCACATTCCGTACTTGCCAGATACTCTCGTCTTGTGCATATGGTATCGTCCAACAACTTTGTCAGGCAGCGCATATGCAGCAGTGTGATAGGGCATTTCAAATCTGCTTCGTCCTGAGGTAGAACCGAGGACGCTTCTTCAGACTTGGCCAGTTCGTCACTATCGTCTTCTGAAGTGTGCTCAGTCTCGACAGGTGTGACAGGTTCAGCTTCAGAGGTGACATTGGCATTGCTCGCATAACTGACTTCGAGCTTCGCTGCATGATCTCGAATAGTTTGCTCATAGTAAGTAAACATCTTGAAGGGCCGAAGGAACGTGGTGCCTTTTATGACACTGAACAAATCCTCGCAGGCCTCACTTAGAGCTTTTATGATCTCAGGTGAGTGGATTAGGATTCGTTCTGGCAGCGGCGATTCTCCGAGGGTCTTGTTCGCACTCGCCTTCGGGGGCAAAGTGCGTGATGCAAGCTTTCTGTCGGGTTCCTGAATGAAGTTGTTGAAAATCCCGCGGAATGATAGTTCGGGCTCGCCAACGACGAGCTGGATGGGGTTGATGATAGTGTTGATACTACCCGAGTTCTGGGATTGAAAGACTTCCCAGGTTGTTTGCAACATCGTTGCAGCAACACCGTCCGTAAGCATTTTGGAAGCCAGCAAGGACTCGTCTGAAGTCGTCTCTACAATCTTTTGCTTCTCAGCTTCCTTGTCTTTGTCTTCCTGTTCCTTATCCCTCTGAACACGCTGCAACACCCAGTACCGCCTGGATCTGCTCATCAGGTAGCCGACGTGTTCCATGGCCTCAGCACTGTACATGACCATGCGAGAGAAATTTTGCTGCATAACGGTGCTATTTGGACCGAAAAGATCTTCGTATGGTGCATCGTCGAAGCCGTTGCCTCTATCCAACAGGGGCGCGAGCATCCTTTTCTCGACCACTTTGTCAACTACTTCGTCGAATTGGGCTAGCTTCTGCTCCAAATCGGAGATCTTTGAAAAGAGATCTCGGTACTGTCGTGCTGACACTGTGATAAGTCCGGCATGCACCCCTTGGTCGCCATCCAAGATGGTTCCCGTGTCGGCAACAATCTCACCAACGAAGCCGGCAGCGTCTCCACGGACAAAAGAGGGATGTAAGGTTCCCGCTGTAGAAGTGGTATCATTCTTGTTGACGTTGGTCTCGTGATGATCGCCATCGGGTTGGATTTGCTGGGCAATGTTCTCCATTGCCAAATTGAGTTCCGAATCAAGCAGCCCAGTCCTATCAATCAGAGTCAGCAACGGCGTCATAATCCTTTACAAAATTTGATCAAATCTAAAAGCTGTGTAGAATATTAATATAATGAACGACTACGTACTGGGATGAAAGCTCAGACATTCGAGTTACAGAAGGCTTGCCACAGAACAGATTCAAGATTGGTGAAAAGCAGACACGAACTTTGTATCTTCGCACCGCAAAGACCTTTGAAAAAGATCCCGAAACATGCACAGCATAGGTAGAGAAAGCTGAATTATCTTGCTTATAATCGTCACGTTGATGTCTAGCAACAGCGACGGTAAGCGGCGTCACCCTTTTTGCAGCCGATGTGCCAGCCAGTCTCATGCAGGTGGTTCTCACCCGAGGAACATGCCAATAATCTGGTCGAAACTTCCAACAAGACCAATAATCACACAGTCTACGCGCTTTATCTTCGGTGCCAAGGACTCGGTTTCAATATATTGACCCCAATTGTCTTGCGTGCATTCAGATGCAACCTATGTAAGCATACAATGCCCATCGGCTGATGATATTTTGCACTTTCAACCTGGAGGTGTTAAGCAGGCTGTGGCACCCCTAGGGATCTATTCGCTGAGGCTGCTTTTCACGACGAGGGTATACGTGTTAGTGTCACATAGATAAGGCAGGCTATCATACGGAGGCGGGCAGGCCCGTAAGCGACGTTCTTTCCGTCAATCAAGTATGTAGGTGTAACAATCCTACAGTAGATACTTGGAATGCATGAAGAGGGGGGATCACGAGATACATGGCAATCCATCATAGGCCGCCTGAGGAGTTTTGACCACGTACGCCGGTGCCACCTCATACAAATGATCAGAGGATTAGTACCCAAATCGGAGTGGCAGGTCTGCAACTTTTCGATCTCATCAAAGTGTCTTCCGAATCGAAGAAGTAGGAAGTGTTTGTCTTTTCGCAGAAACCGATACCCTTCTTTGTCTCTTGAAGTAATTGAACCTGTCGGACCTCTCCATGACCATGAGGTCTTTGACCTCGCAGTCCTCACGTTCCCCCAGAGTTCAGTCTACATTCCTTCGAAGATGTCTGATGCAAGTCTCCCTGGAGGATCCGCACCCCCCATTCGTTTGCAAACACCTGCCGTGGACTTCATCGACAACAGACTGCCTCGATACCACCCAGCCTTCGAGTACCAGGAAAGATTTCATGACGGCAATGGCAACCGGCTCGTCGCAATCAGCTCGGGTTGGTCGTCGCCCACAAGTTCCAACCATACGGTGTCTTTCGTTCCATCTGATCAAGCTGCTAAATCTCAGGATCTGGTATGCCCCGCGATGCTCTCCCCGCGCCCAAGCCAACAATCTGCTCGTCAACTGCCACCTAACATTGAAGATATGACATTCTGGGGATCGATCTGGCCTAAAGCCATGGGCCGTCTTCGTGAGACTCCTGAGGCCTCCGGCCGAAAGGATAAAGGATTCAGTATCCGAGAGGCGGAAAAATGGGCAGATGTCACAAACACTCTTAACAGAGCCCGCGACAAGTATAATGGTATCAGAACAGACGGAAAGTACTATCATAAGGTCCTTGGAAAAATCAAGAGATCTAGTCGTCGGGTTGGAGAGACTGTTGCAACACCTCTTCAGCAAGTCATCAAGGTTGTTCCAAGTCATCCCATTGCCACTCCCGTGTTAGGTACCCTGGATTTGTTGATAAAGGTACGTGGAAACCACTTCAAAGTGTTTGGAGTCTGTTCTGTATATCGATTCTATGAGTTAGAATGCGGTATTTCTGACTGACTGTGCACACAGGCGTGGAAAGAAGCCGCAAAGATTCGGACACAACTAGATGCAAGCTTCGACGAAGATGCCCTAGCATCTAAGTTTGAAGACCTTGAAGTCTGGTCCAGCCTTTTTCGAAACGATGAAAATATCGCCAAGGCCTCTGCTAATCTCCTGGTATATATATTGAAAGCGGCAGAAGGAGCAATCGGGTTCTATATTAGCTGGCGAGGTAAGCTGAAAACCGTTTCCCGTTCTAAATATATAGTTTTTGAGAATCACATCTGAGATCCTGACAAATCAGCTCACATGAGCAGCACGTATGGGAGGCATGTGTCACAACTGACCAGTTCTTTATCCAGTTTCACGACTGCGGCGATCCATCTTTCAAGGTGATGAGTACCTCAAATCTTTTGTCGAGTCTCTCAATGAAATCCAAAAGGCAGGGGATAGGCTTCAATCCGAGGCCGATAAGAGCCACAAATATCAGGAAAACACACGTACGCGCGCAATCACATGAAGGCAATCATGTACACACTCAGGCTAACGATTATATGTCGTTGCTGATAATCAGATCGGGCAAAGATGGATGAAAAGTTGGATCAGGTGACGGAGATGTTGAAGGGGATTTTTTCTTTCGAAGCTAGAGTTGCTATGTCCTCGTTACTTACGGGTATGCCATACCCTGGCGACTTGTCAGCACAGAAAAGCCAGAGTGAGTTAGTAATCTCAGAATCAACATGGAATTGAAGCTAACATTTTCAAGGTATTACAGAAACCTCATCGAACGCCAGACTGTTGCTTCCTTTCGAAGAAGGGTCTGAACGCTCGGTTGAATCCAGGACACCGACACCTGAGCCAAGAGCCATTTCTCCTCCAGAAATTGCCGTTTCCCCCGAAGAACTCGCTCGATGTTTAGACAATACAAGAACGGATGAAGAAGACATGGCTTTTATTCTCGGCAGAGCCACTGCCTTCTCAGCTGAAGATCGTGGACGCGCTGAGGAGGTTGTCGAGACACGGGAATTCCGCAATTGGGTCACCAGTAAAGAGAGAAGTAGTCTCGGAGACGGCGCTCTCCTGATCCATGGAGACTACGACCTTGGTGACTACCCCGAGATTTCACCTCTATCAGCGCTATGCGTCGCCTTCGTGCAAATGCTACGAATCAGACACGAGTATATCGGCCTGGTGTTCTTTTGCGGACGACACCTCGAAAAGCCTCACGATAGTAATCCTGGACCAAGCGGTCTTATGCGCAGCCTGATAGCGCAGCTAGTTCGACAACACCCTGCGGTCTTTACTCAAATGCAAGAACCAGGCATATCGCTTGAAGACATCCGAGAGTCACAGAACAATCTCTCCTACCTTATCAGTCTTTTTGCTGCAATGGTTCGTCAACTACCAGTATCCAACACTGTGTTCGTTCTGCTTGACGGCGTCCTTTTCTACGAGAGATTCAAGTATCGAGAGAATCTGCTTCAAGTCATCAACGGACTCTTGGAGCTCACAAATAACCAGTTCAAGATGCTTGTAGCAAGTCCGGCAGAAACAAGGACAAGAGACTTGAGCACGCCATTCAGGAAGCGCAAGGCTATCCTGTCTATGAAAAGTATGCCAAACACTGGAAGAGGACCTAGCAGAAGAGGTGTGGCGAAGAGGATTGGTATGGAGCTTACGAAAGGATAGATTGCTAAATCAGACAAAGCACACACGAAATACTATATTGTATTTGAACGATCTACCGTTTTGGTTTTCGGGGTAAATTGAGAATGTGTGTTTCGATTAAAAGACAAGACATTCAAAACTTAATGTCACGTCACCACTATTTCCCCTTCCTGACCCAGAGAACCGGTTTCGGGAATGTTGATAACGGCAGCCTCAATGAGATCTATTGCTAGTGGATCACGGGTGCAAAGATAGCTTCTGCCGTTCAAATTTGTTCAGCTTGGACGGTTGGATTTGGACGATCATTTCCATGAGCGGTAGTGAGGCGTCCGGTGTGAACATTGAGAATAAGGCGTGCCCTCTAAAGCATGTTCACCCTTCCTACTGTCCGTAATTGGCTTTTTGGAAGAAGATCTCTTGTATAGTCGTCCCTACATATCGAGCCACTGCACTGGATAGTCTGGGTGAATCCAGGCTGCGGCGAGTAATTGTCACGTCTGACTACAGGCTCGCAGCTAGAAACACCTTGGAGCCGACGTAAGAATCTTCAACAGCCCGCCTTAGTATCCCATAGTCGAATTTCTAATCTATACGCTCTCTAGCAAGCATGTCGATGTTTTTACGTCATTCCTGCTTCAAGACGTCCTACATCTGCTGTGTTGGGAGATTCCCCGATGCTGGCATGTGGGCTATAAGAGGCTTCTAATTTAACTATCCAGCTCGCTCGAACACCAGCCCTAGCAACCGTCGAGGTTCCCGGCATTCACTTTTTGCTTCTCAAAGTCAGCAAGAAGAACTCGCCTCATGAGCAAATGTATGAGCCATAACGCAATTTTATTGAATGCAAGCAATCCGAGTTGACTCGTGAGCTTCTCTTCCTCGCTCAGCCTCCCCTATCCTCGATTTCAGCCCTTCAAGAATGATTAAAGGGCCCCCAAAAACACGTAATCCTACTCTTCAAGTCCCTACCCTTGTATAAACCTACACCCTTGCCATCCTCCAATGATTGATATGAGAAAATCTCGCCGTAAAAATACAGTTCAGAATCGATCTGAGAGAGCCGCCCTTCGCTAGCTGTTTTGGATCCGCCCCTTCCACCCATGTATGTTATGTACCTGATCCCCATAGCCTTGAGAGGGGTTAGACCACAGCTCACTCCTAGAATCAGCCAGGAATAGGCCGAAGTGCCCTCTTGGCCTGTCTCGCCTTGCATTCAAGAGCATAGCCGGGCTCGTTTGCCTTGCGCCACTCGATGTATGCTTCGTAACTCTGCTGGCCAACTGTATCAGGGACTCGGGGCTTGGCAGCGCATCTGGGCGCCATGCCAGGACCGAACGCGGGAGCATTTGCGTTCAATAAAGACCCGTGATGAGGTACCGGTGCTTGTGTTGTCGGAAACGGAGTTGTCCAAGGCCCGACAATAGGCACTACCGGATTGTTGGCCATCGGTCGGACAAGACCAATGGCCGGAGCAACGCGGCTTGTATCGGAACTATGCGCAGATTGGGGTAGAGTAGACCGAGTTGGATTGAACGGTGACCTGAGGGGCGGCAAAGGGGGGGCGGTTGGGTTGTTTGCAAATGATGGTGTAAAACCTGGAGCAGATGGATCGAATGGTGCGGCAGGCATTTGGGTTGGAAAGTCTAGTAGAGGTCTGACAATATTGCTATGTAGACCAAAAGCTGGACTAAGAGATACTGGAGGGGTTTGTTGGAAAAGTGACGGATGCAATGTTGGTCTCGGCACGGAGGGTGGAAAAGCCTGCGTTCCTTGGATGCCAAACTTTGCGATTGTGTTGGCAATAATCTCGTTTGGATCTTGTCCGGGAGCTTTGCTGGAGGTTTGGCTCACTAGTTGCTCTAGAAGAGAGATGATGGTTTTCCTGTCCCTCTCTTCGGCCTTGTCTGATGTGGCTGAAGATGTCTGAGGAGCGAAGGTGGAAAACTCCCTTGCTAGTGGGTTAAGAGTTCGAGCCTTGGGCGGTCCTCTGGTATCAATACCAGAATCCTCCGAAACTTGTCTTGGGCGAGTACCGCCATTTCTGGCGACCTTGTGTTTTGACTGTTCGTCTTGCAAAGGTCGCTGTAGTTTTCGTAGAAGCCCCTGAAAGCGATCATCTTGATTGTGTTCGGAACCGCTGTCTGTTGGCTTGGCATCCCGGAAACCAATGTCAATAATTGCTGGGTCGTGAATGACGGCCGAGTCACTCAAAACTTGACCTTTTCGCAGGTCTGGAGAATGATTCTTGTTGCCCGAGTCGTCGCTCTCGTCGTGCTTGCAAGGACGTAGAAGATCTGTCATGGAAGACTTCCGAGGTGTGATCCCGGTATCCTCCAACTGCCTACTGAAGTCAACAAGACTATCGCTCCGCATGTGTGACTTGAAACGATTCGCATTTCTAATGCTGCGTATCTCTGCGTTGTTGAACATGCCGTTGTGTTCCTTGCAATTGAGGTCGGTGCATTCGTGGATAAAAACGTCCAAGACGATGGAGTCAGGACCCTGCTTCTAGGAGGAGTGCTTGCTCTGACTACTCGGAACAGGTACGGCATTGACCACGGCACACTTCTTTGCGCGACCGATTATGATTGTTCCCTTGGTTGAGGCTTTACTGTTGTCTCTGGATATGGGATCGGTCGCGGTTTGCAAGGGGGAAACGCCAGCCACGGGCTTCCGCCACTGGGTAGCCGACTCAGCTATGTCGTTGGAGTCGGTTTCAGTACTCGAATTTGTTCTTCGCCTTCGACGCATGCTGAGTTGTGGTGTATTATGATCGTGAGGAAGCAACGGCTTGCGCCAATTGGCAGAGGCCAATGCCACCGCTGTCTTCTCCATGTCTCTGCCATGTTTGTTAGTGACACGTTCTAACCCGAAAAGAAGAAGGAAAATTGAGGCATACGAAAGAGGAGATGCTCTAGGTTGGCTGGAAGTGTCGAAAATGGTGGATCGCAGGGACGGTGTTCCCGACGGAAGTCCAGGCCGAAGCAGAACAATAGAGCCGAAAGCTGCCAGAGGATGCGATGTCAACAGGCGTAAACGAACCCAAAGTGAGGTGAAGAAAGTTCTTCGCTGATGTAAAAAACATGCGCTGAGGCCCTTAAGTCTGCGATGATGTGTCCAAAATTGGAGAGCTGAGGTGGTGGGTGTGATGTTGACGGATGATGGAGATGTTGGCGCCAGGTTGGCGGGAAACAAACGCGCCGAGGTCGTATATGCTTGTCGATGCATTGCCCGGAGAATTGACTCCGTGTGGTGGCAGATGAGGAAAGAAAGGGGAACATCGGGATCGGCTTGAGGAAACAGCAGGCTGCATGTTCTCGTCCTCGCTGCCGGGAAGGCCTGACCAAGAGCAACCACTCTAGCGTATGGTGATTGTGGAAGATGCACAATTTGCGCATATCTGAAGCGATTCAGGTAAGAACCACCATCAACTTGATATCGTTGTTCACATACTCTCGGAAGCTTTGAGGTAGTCTAACGTTATACTGCATCATGGTCATTGATGAGAGAACGCTGAAAGAAAACACGCGTCAATAAAGAGAGATAGGATATCAATTTTAACACGCTAGATGTCGTAGAAAACTCGAAACATCGCCAACTTGTGATGAACTCAGATAGAGCAAGGTATGCAAACAAAACATCGGCCAGTACATGCGTCAAGCCCATCCTAGGATACATCTCACTACATGCCTTGGTTTGCCTGTCCAGACAAGTAGGCACTGAAATGTTTCTGTTGTGTAAAACGTCAGCGTAATGAATTGGCATGCTTGGTTGAGGAGAAACTCACCGCATTCCTCGTCTGCATGAAGACAGTTCCTGGGCCGGTGAATTTACACACCAGACCCTCGCCAGAGGAGAGGCCAGAGATGATACCACCAGAGGCAACTCGTTCCATAATGTACTTCACGTTCCACGCAACCAAGTGGCCGTTATCAACAACGTACTTCTCGCCTTCCATGAGCTGTATTTCGGTCAGACGCTGCGTCACGTATATAGCCACACCTGGCCAGGGCACTTACATCTTTGCGGATGATGGCACCGAAACTGGTAAGCCAAAGCAGTCCAGTACCGCTAATCTTGTACACATACAAGCCCTCGCCACTGAAGATGGCCTTGCTGAGACCCTGACGCTTGTAGTCCTTGATGACACCCTGCGTAGAAGCCAGCCAGGCGTCCTGCCCAACCGACCACGTCTCCTTGCCCGTGAGACGCAGACTAGTGACATCACCGAGCATAGGCGGCGCCAGGAGAAGCTCGCCGGGTCCGACATACGTCGAGCTCGCCAGCTCAGCGCCAGCCACGAGCTTCTTCATGCTGAACTTGATCTGGCCCCTAAGCGTGATAGAATGCGACATGGCGACCATCACACCGGGCTTCGCCTGCAGCGGACACCCCATGGCGAGCTGGACGGTCAAGATGGTATTGCTGTCGCGGTGGCTGATGCGGTAGCTGCCTCCGTTGAAGGTCCCGACGTCGTCGACGGTCGCGGTGGCGCCGATGAAGTGCTGGGGCGGGGGCGCACCTCCCACGAGGTTGGACGGGTTGCTCGTGTCTACCGGTGCTTCCTCTACGTGCTGCTTCTCTGGCAGGCTGGAGGCCTCGGGCGGTCCGTCGAAGGCGGGAGGCGGAGGGGAGAACTGAGGCTGCGAATCGGGGGTGCCTGATTGCCGTAGGGGAAGCTGCGTCTGTTGTAGCTGTTGCTGGTGCTGGTGCTGGTGCTGAGGGGAGGGCTGCGGCGACTGCTGAGGGGGTGATTGATACTGCTGCTGCTGCTGCTGAGAAAGGCCGGGAGGTGGCGGGTATTGCGACTGGTTCTGTGAGGGCGTCGTGGTGCCTTGGGGAGGAGGCGGGTACGTCCTCCCCTGACTCGGCGATGCCTGCGGAGGAGGAGGATAGCTTGCGCCATGTCCTGGCGACTGGGGAGGAGGCGGATAGTTCTGGGGCGTGCTTGACTGAGGAGGAGGAGGAGGGTAGCTATTGTTGCTGCTGTGTTGTCCGGCAGCTTGGGGTGGAGGAGGGTAGTTTTGCGACTGCCCTTGCGAGGGCTGAGGCGGCGGAGGATAGCTCCCACTATGGCTGCGCTGAGGTTGTGAGGGAGGAGCAGGGTACGAGAACTTGGTCTGGTTCGCGGGAGGGGATTGCGGCGGCGGTGGGTAATTTTGCTGGGCTGTGATTTTGATTGTCTTGTCAGCGTTTCTCATCCGGGGACACTTGTTTCGCTCAATTGGGATAACGTACCTCCCGACGGAGGAGCTGGAAGTGGTGGTCAGCACGAGTTTCGTTACCTTGTCGTATCGCGGGGTGAGAGTGAAGAACTTACGGGGATAATATTGGGAGGACATGATCTCTCGCTGGATGTTGCGTCTCCTCGGCGGCGTAGGTTTCGCGGGTAATATCGTGAGAAGAAGCCAACTTGAAGTGAAAGACAAGACGAGGTGAGTGGAATCGAGGGAAAAGAATCAGAGAGTTGATCTGGGTAGGTCAGTCGCACGCCAAGCTGGTCGCATCCCACCTCATCGCCATCGCCATCGCCATCGACTGCCCCGCACTTACAGTTGATCACCCAACAGCCCAATTGCAGAGCGTCGTGATACAGTCAGCTTCAAGTTTCACGAACAGCAAGCCCTTTATCGCTTTGTCTTTGAGTCGCCGAAGCTTCCGAGATGAATGTTCAAAGCACCAAGAATGAAGAGAAAGACAACAATTGTCGCGCAAAAAGGACAATGGGCGCCTAGGGGTTCAGGGTCATTAAAGAGGGAGCTTCCCACGCGCCAGAGCAATCCCGGCAAGCTTGCTGAGCTGCAGGTAGAAGCTCCGCCAGACCCCCACCCCCTGTCATGGCCATGAAATGTGGCCGCATCGCCGCCACCTTACCCCCAGCTTCCCGTTGGCCTGCATGGGAATAAGTGTGGTAGCCGTGGTAAAGTGGTAGGGCAGTTGTATTGGTGAGCTTTCGATGTTGGACCGTCGTCCAATCGTTGGGGGCTTGCCCAGCGCGATGGGGAGAGTCTCTAACTCTTTTCGGCGTCAGGTGAAGAGGGGCGGCGCTTAGAGACGTCCAACGGCGACTCGCCCTGCTATTGGTCCTTTGCCTCTCTGCCTCTCCCATTTCTCGGGGATTTCATGCCGCTCTCTGGGCCTTGAGAAAATCGCCGGATTTGAATGTTCAAGGGGATGAACCACTCCCTTTGAGCTTTCTCGTGGATGTCGTTTCTTGCAGAGATTGCAGACGGGCTTGGCTACACTGAAAACTGAGATCTACCTAGGCAGATGGAGTTGAGGCGTTGCCAAGGCATGCTTGAAAAATTCTTACAGGAGCGATTATGAGACCTGCACAAGATTAATCCAATATCGAACCTGACTTTGGCTTGTGACAGACCTGAGCGGTCCACCAAGAGAAATCGGCACCCGGCCGATCCAATGCAGCCACACCGAGCTGGCCACCTCCCGTCAGGCGTCCGTGAGATGTGGGGCCGGTTCCAGCAACACGGGACTGCCAGCGACATTTCGGACCGGGAACGAGCAGAGGGAACAACCTTCAAGAGATACAGCGCAGATAGATCATTAGATTTGTTTATTTTTTTTTTTCCCTTCATTCGTTTCCTTCGTTATCTCTACAATGCCTACCTAACGCCGTTGGTCCTATGCTTTTTGGTTTTCTTCCCTTTTTGTCTACACCCAATCTCCCCTTTCCATTCAGAAAGCCATCTTCTCGTGCTTGAACGGTTTCTGGCCCTCACCCTCGCCGTACGCCAACGAAACCTGACCCTGACCGCGAATCTTGTACTTGTAAATCATGAGTCCTTCCAACCCGACAGGCCCGCGCGAGTGGATCTTGTTGGTGCTGATGCCGACCTCGGTGCCGAAGCCGTACCGCATGCCGTCCGCCATGCGCGTCGACGTGTTCCAGTACACGCCCGCGGCGTCGACGGCGGCCATGAAGCGCTCGGCGTCGTCGGCGGACGATGTGAGGATGCACTCGGTGTGCTTGGACCCGTGGGCGTGGATGTGCTGCACCGCCTCCTCGAGCGACGAGACGACCTTGACGGCGAGGTCGAGGGAGAGGAACTCGGTGTCGTAGTCTGCATCCTTTGCGTCAACTATCTTGGAGGCCGATTCTCCGGAAATGTGGGACTGGAGAGCGGCTTTGGACTTGGCGTCGCAGTGTAGCGTGACGCCGGCCGCAACCAGTGCCTCCGCGGCGGCGGGGAAGACGGAGTTGAGGGCGGAGTCCTGGACGAGAAGGGTCTCGACGCTGTTGCAGGCGGCCGGGTAGCTCGTCTTGGAGTCGACGAGGACCTTGGCCGCCATGCCCGCGTCGGCGGAGTCGGTCAGGTAAATGGAGCAGAGGCCGTCTGCGTGGCCGAGGACGGGAATCTTTGTCGACTCCTTGATGTAGCGCACGAGCTCGTTGGAGCCGCGGGGGACGACGAGGTCGATGGAGTCGTCGAGGGCGAGGAGCTGGGGGATGACGTCGCGGGTAGTGACGAGCTGGACGGCCGGGTTGGGCACCTGGGACTTGTCGAGGGCGGCGGAGATGACTTTTGAGATTGCGACAAAGGACTCTGTGGATTCCTTGCCGCCCTTGAGGATGGCGGCGTTGCCCGACTTGATGGCCAGGGAGGCGATATTGGCAATGACCTCGGGGCGGGCCTCGAAGATGATGAGGAGGACGCCGATGGGGCAGGTGACTCTCTCCAGGACGAGGCCGTCGTCCAGCTTGGTTCTGAGTGTGACTTTGCCGACTGTACTCAAGGTCAGAATACTGAATGAACTGTTGTGTTTGTGAATCGGGGGGGTAAGGTCAGTGTATACATACCTGGGTCCTCGAGACCTCTCACGTCCAAGATACCCTTGAGCATATCCTCAAACTTGCCCTTCTTGCCCAGGTCCAGGCGGGACACGAGACTTTGACTCAATTGACCATCGGCGGCGGCTTTACGTGCGAGCTCCAGGTCGCGCGCATTGGCGGCCAGAATGTCGTCCTTGGCCTCGGCGAGAGCAGCGTGGATGGCCGTGAGGGCATCGTTGCGGGCTTCGGCAGGGAGGGTCGCGAGAATGTGAGAGGCCGATTTCGCACCCTTTGCGGCGTCGACGGGGGAGGCGTTGGTGAGGGACATGGTGGGCGGATGGGTTTCCCGTCCAATGAAGTTGGATGTGTAGTAGTTTGACGCTCTCAACTGGAGTGAAAGTAAAAAGTACAAGACTTGTTTACTTGTCGACCTACACTTACAAGCTCAGGTGAGTTCGGTATGAGTCAATTCGCGACTCGATACAGCTGGGGCTTGTAATTAGACTGAGGTGGTTAATGGTGCGGTGCGCCACTCGGCGGGCAGCATGTTTGGCCATGAAAATTTGGAGAGCCCCGCACTCGGAGGGGAAAAGAAGTTGGTGCGTGAGGTGAGACTGGACTGGGCACAGAGGTCAATAGTAATAATTAAAGGTTGTTTAATTGAGTTGGAGCAACTCTACGGATACCAGACTCCAATAACAAACCCATGGATAAACCTAAATCCAGCAACCTTATTGTTCCAAAGGCAGAAATTCAAAGTCTCTTTCAACTACTTACTTAGTATAAACGTCTCCGTTCAATACGATATTGACCACTCATCTCTTTTCGGCAGCTCAATTCTCGGTCGTGTTACTGGTCCAGCCATAAGAACAGGGATCAAAAGTCTTGCTCCAGAACCCGTTCTGTTGGTTGCCCTGGGAAATATCATTGTCACTGCGTTCTTGTATTTTTGCTCTTCAATGGTCTCGATGCAACATTGAACACTTCACTCGAAGTGTTTGAAGTTCAGGCTCGGCTTCTATGAACAGTTGGTTATAATGCCACCTTACTCCGTACTAGCAACTGCAAACTAAATCGAGTCATGGGTGGCTGGCGGCCACCTCCAACACTGTCGGACATTCCGCGACAGTCCCCCCCTCCAAGCCGAGGTACATTGAGGCAACGTCAGCGATTGTCGAATCTTTCAGGTTTGCGGCTTACCCCATTCTCATCAACCTGGTTCACGACGTGGTTCATCCCGCCCTTCATCTCACCTCCCTGTGTGTCAGGAACCTTCTACTTTGAGGTGTTCCTTCAACCACGACGGATGCTGCCAAGGCATGCAGGTGACCGCAACATAGGTACATGGTATGCACTCCGCGAAGACCAGGCCTGGACAGTCTCCTCCGACCCTCTCAAAGACATCAGGGACCCATTCCGCGGCGGGAGCTACCCGTTCCGCCTGATAAGAAATAGACCCTCGATAAGAGGCGAGCCGAAAAGATTCGGGGCATACCCCCAATTAGCTCAATACCATTGCCGATGGGCCACGCCTTTCACGCCTTTGACTAAGCGGTAACAAGCCGGAAACAGGACCAAAGACGGCAATACTAAACGGCCAGTGCCGATCTTCCTACCTTTTAGATGGGATTCTTCTCAAGTTTCTCCTACGGAGTAGTCGCAAGTGCTCTGTTCGATCACTCCGCCAAACGAGAGGAGGCATCTTACTACCAAAGCTCGCCATAATCGCTACTAATCCACCATATAGGATAAGCACCGCCGAGGCATCTTGCTCCCTCGCGCTCGAAACATCGGCTACCCACAGCCGAGCGCGGTGTCGATCCACTCCACTGCGGAGCGGTAGCGGTAGCGGTAGCCGACAAGCACGTTTCTGGGTTGAAGACGGCTAGCCGCCATCAATGCCCATCATGGAGACACGACCAGCCCTGGATGGGTGTGGTGTGGGGTGGGAAAGCCGGACAACACCCGATTCATAATACGGCCCAGGTCCCCGGCAATTTTCCCTGTCGTCATTTTTTTTCCCTCTTGTGATGGTTCTCTACCATCTTTCTTTCTAATGTTTCACTTGCTTGGCTTTGTGGAGTCTTGAAGATCAAGTGACGAAACTTTACTTTCCTCTCCCTCCCTCTTATCATACCAAGGTGGTTTGTTGAATCACGGTGTGAGCTTTTCCATCTGGCGTTGAATTCTCGCGCCCTTCTTCCTGTCGTATCCACATCGGCACCGACTCGGCGAAAAAAGACTCATCAAGAGAGGAAGAAAGATGACCACCACATCACACGATCCGGAAAAGGATTCTTTCCCACCGGAAGAAACCAAACATTCCATTCGCGGCGAGGAACAGAGCAGCAGCAGCCAATCAAGCGACAGCGAAGATGAGATCACAGAGGTTGGCCGGAGGAACGGAGACCGGTCCCGCAAGTCTGCCGATGCCGATGCCGATGCCGACTCGGAGGGGGACCCGGAGGTGGAGGGAGAGGAGGGGGACCCATCAGCCGGCGACGTCCCGGCGAGAACACGGTCCCGGGCCTCCTCCACCCGCTCCCGCGCCCTTTCCATCGTCGCCCGCTCTAAGCGGCGTGGGTTTCTCGCACAGCTCACCACCATCCCGGAAGTGGACAACCCGTATCATTACACCAACAAGACGAAATGGACAATCACCTTGATCATCGCCCTCGCCGCGGCCGTCTCACCCATGGGCTCATCCATCTTCTATCGTGAGTAACTCACATATAGTTACCTTTACCTAACCTTTGAAATTCAGCTATACTGACAAAGACGAAGCCGCGCTCACCGAAATGTCCAAAGAATTCGGCGTCACCCCCACAATCACCAACCTCTCGGTAGCATTCTACATGCTCGCCATGGCAATCTTCCCCCTCTGGTGGTCCTCCTTCTCCGAGACCCTCGGCCGCCGCACAATCTACCTCCTCTCCTTCACCCTCTTCGTCCTCTTCTCCATCCTCTCCGCCGTCAGCGTAAACATTGAGATGCTCATCGTCATGCGCCTCCTCGCCGGCGGCGCCAGCGCCAGCGTCCAGGCCGTCGGCGCGGGAACCATCGCCGACATCTGGGAGCCGCGCGAGCGCGGGCGCGCCATGAGCATCTTCTACCTCGGGCCCCTCACCGGCCCGCTGTTGGCGCCCATTATCGGCGGCGCGCTGGCACAGCGGTTCGGGTGGCAGTCGACCATGTGGACGCTCGCCATCTACGGCGGGCTCGTCCTCGTCATGATCCTGTTTTGTCTGCCCGAGACCCTCGCGCGTCCCAGACCTGCTGCCGCCGTCGTCGTGGCACCGCAAGCAGCAGCAGCAGCAGCAGCATCATCATCAGCAGAAGGCACCGAAAAGAATGCCCTCGCCCGCACGAAAACAACCGAATCCGTAAAAGTCCACTCCAAAAAAGCAGCCGCCTTTTTCAAAAAATCCTTCATCGACCCCCTATCCGTCCTCTTATACCTCCGCTTCCCCCCCGTCGCCATAACAGTCTGGTTCGCCGCCGTCACCTTTGGCGCCCTCTTTGTCGTAAACATCTCCGTCCAGGCCACCTTGTCCCAAGCCCCCTACGGCTTCAGCGAGCTCATCATCGGCCTGTTTTACTTCCCCGCCGGCCTGGGCTACTTCCTCGCCTCCCTCCTCGGAGGGCGCTGGCTCGACGTTATCATGGCGAGGGAGGCCCGTAAGGCGGGCCGGTACGACGCCGACGGGAAATTGATCCTGCTGCCGGAGGACAGGATGCGCGAGAACATCTGGATCGCGGCGACGGTGTACCCGGCTTCGCTCATCTACTACGGCTGGGTGGTGGAAAAGGGACTGTTTTGGTTCGTGCCGTGTATCGGTCTGTTTACGTTTGGCGCCAGCTCGATGCTCGTGTTGTAAGTCCTTTTCCCCCCCCCTCTCTCTCTCTCTCACGCACCAGTGATATCTGGTTCTGTACTTTTCATCTTATCTCGTCCCGGCTTCGGCTGACATGTGACCACCAGTGGCGCCGCCACGACCATGCTAACCGAATTCATGCCCAAACGGAGCTCAGGAGGCGTGGCGGTCAACAACTTTGTCAGAAACATTTTCAGTTGCATTGGTGCGATTGCGGCGCAGCCGGTTATCAACGCCATCGGCAACGGGTGGCTCTTCACGATACTGGGCATCTTTGCGTGGGTATCGGGCTACATCTGCGTCTGGACCCTCAGGAAGAAGGCTCCTGAGTGGAGGAAGAGCATGGACGCGGCGTTGAATAAATGACGAGATTTACGAATTTGTTTTCTTGCGCCCTCCGAAGTCGCGTTCATATTACAGAGTAATGAATGACGATGGGGGAGTCGTTATAGAGGTTTTGAATAGATTTTTTGTTACTTGAAATTGTATATGCTTCCGGAGAGACGAGCCAACATCACACCGCCTCTCTCTCTACGATGCCCTTGCGCCCGCAGCTTATCATCACTCCCTTTGTCTACCATCCCCCCCTCCCTTCTTACACCAATCACCACAACACCACCCTCAACCCATCAAGAACTCGCCTGCAGAACGGTGTTGACCCCCCTCTCAGCACAATACTTGGCCACCTCCTTCCTCAGCGTCGTCTTCTGCCTCGCAACAAGGTCCATCACATCCCTCATCTCCTCACCCAAGTCCCACTCCCCACCAGCACCGCCAACAGCCCCGTACAAATCCTCCATCTCGACCAAAATCGCCTCGAGCTGGTTCGGCAACCACGTGACGATGGGGCTACCGCCCGTGGCCGTCGGGTGCGACGTGCGCTTGAGGATGTACTCGCGCGCGAAGCACCAGTGCCGCCAGCGGAAGTCGCGCACCTGGTGCAGGATCAGCAGCCACAGGCGGCGGGACTCCTTGACGGCCTCCTTCTCCTCGGCTTTTAGGTTCTCGGCGGAGAGCTTGGTGGAGAGCGCGGCGTCCTTGAGGCCGACTTCGAGGGAGCGGTCCTTGACGTGCATGAGGAACTGGCGGTGGTTGCTGGGGCGGTAGGACCTGAAATCTTTCAGGATCTCGGTGAGCGGGGTGTCGGGCATGGGCACCTGCAGCAAATTGTCCATGAGGGGCACGATGGAGTCGTTTGCGCCCGACTCGCCGCGGAAGGACATTGGCTTGCCGTCGTTTACGCCCTCGTAGACGACGCCATTGGGGAACATAGATTGGCTGGTGATGCCGAAAATAAAAGTGCGGAAGCTGGTGTAGCTCTGCGGGCGGGACTTGTCCCACATGGTCTCCATCGTGTTGTTGATCTTGCGGAGGGCGGCGAGGACCTCGGACAGGCCCTCGTTGAGGGCTGCGCGGTCCAGGGCCGGGACGGGGGAAGTCGTGGGCACGGAGGAGCGGAGGGCCGCCATTGTGCCCTTTACGAGGGGCCCCGTGTTCTTTACCATGTCGATGTGGACGAGGACGAAGCCTGCCTCAGAGGAGGTCGGGTCCAGGCCGTGCTCGAAGGCGCGGATGAGGCGGATGTTGGAGTATTCCATGCCCTTGGAGGGGTCCTCGAGGCGGTAGTTGTAGAGGGCGTAGGAGCCGGCGTATTCCATCCATGGCTTGAAGCCGGTGCTTTGATGACGGATGTTAGATGCGAGTAATGCTATAATCGTATTGAGAAGAGAAAAAAAGACTTACAGCTCAGCGCAACGGGCAATGGGCATCGAAATGTTCCTCGGCAACACGTCCCTCGCGAGCCCGTACCCTTCACCGCGGACGAACCGCTCGTGGCACGGCTCTAGCAGGTACGCGGATGCGAGGAACGAGTAATCGCGGTACAGCGCGTTCATGAGCGGCAGGTTCTCCTTGTACTGGTCAATGGCGTCCGTCAGGTCCGGGAACTCTGCGTCGACGGTCTCGCCGAGCTTGGAAGACGCCAGGAGCCCGGGGGTACCGTCGACCTTCTTGACGGGCATGCGCGCGAGAATGTCCTCTAGGGGCGCAAACTCGGCGGGCAGGACGGCGACGGGGTCGGCGCGGGGGAGAAAGCCGCGGGTGGTGGAGACCATGAAGGCCGGGAGGGAGGTGTCGGAGGCGCGGGGGTCGTCGAGGACGGGGAAGGGGGTGGAGTCGATTGAGCCCATTGTGATGGATAAGATTGATTGAAAACGTGGGGATAGAATACGGGGTGTAAGTGTATGTGGGTTTGGATGGGATGGGTTGGGGGAGATGTGTGTAAGTGCGGGATGGTGGATGTGGGTTATGGAGTGATGATGGTGTGGTTATGTGTGTGCAAGTGCGGGATGGATGTCTGGGCAAGGGAAATGATTGGGATTTGTGTTGGTGTAAGTCGGACTCAAGATGAGCTTCACCAAGATGCGTGTAAGTGAGATGGGTATGTAAAAGTATGCGGAAAATTCGCAAAAAAAATGCCAAATAATTTCCAATTAAGCCAAAGAATTGCTTCTCAGTGCAAAGGTGCTGAATGAGTTGGAGTGCAAGTTTGTTTCGTTGACCTGCCGCCACTCGGCGCCGTGTATATAGTTCGTGGCCGGAATCGATTCCGGCCTCAAGTGAGGGGGTTTGCACCTCCGGCCATGACACGAATCCCCCTTTCCTCCACCCCCCGTCCGTCTCTCGTCCGTCCCGTCCGTTCCCTTATTTCTGTTTGTCATATCATCCTAATCTCTGGTCACACGGGGTCATCCAGATAGCCCAGACCCGAGATTCGCTCCCACCATCTTCGTCTCCCTTCATGCTGGCCAAGCCCTTGCACTCCATGATAAGCACAATGCCTCTGCACCTCACTGGTTCGCGTACCCTGGATCATGCCCACATCGTGTATCACACCCTGATGACCTTACATGCATTCCTTTCCTTTTTCGTGAAGTAAAGTTTTTGTTTTATCGGCGTTGACATCGTGTGTGGTTGAAGATGCCGAAGTTTTGTGGTTCTCGCAGGTCCGGTGCAGGCGCGCTGGGGACTGGAGCGGTGGTTGAGTATTGACTTTCTCTAGCCCCACTTATTGACCGATTATTGCCGGCGTGGCCGGAACCGTTCCGGCCTCTTGGCACACGGACCCGGACTCTTTTTTCTTCAACTAAACTGGACTGAGACACTAACAGGTTTCACACACAATCGAGACTGATAATTGTTAAGATAAGGGGATTTTGTTCCCAGTGTTGCATTGAAATGAGTGTGCCAGTCTAGTGATTTCATAGTAATTTCATCCGGTGTGCTCGCCGCCTGTTGAAGGTACGGTACGATACACAAAACCCGATCCAAGAATTTCCCAGCCGTTGCCGTTCTGGTAGTTGAGATACAAAAAGCAGCGTACATGTCTATCTCCCCTCGTATTCTTCTCGTTCGATATGCTTCGCATGCTTCTCATGCCAAATGAATGTCGTAAATAAGTCGTGAAATCATTATCCGAAATTCGTCCGTCGTAATGTGTCGTTGCCCATTCTCATTCATCGTCGCCCGTGGACGGTCTCTCAATCATCATGTACTATGAGCTGTGAGCCAAGGCGATCTTCGCATTTGCGTGACCGCATACCTTTCGACGCCATCCGACGCCGTCAAATGCCCTCTTCGTCGCGAACAAAGAGGAGCCCAGGGCCACTGGTCTCGTCCAGCGGATCACGACGCTTAACACCCAGCTCCGTCCAGGAATCGCGCGTCGTGAAGCCCACGTCAGACTCGTCTTCCTCGGTGGTTGTCCCGTCGAACTGGACCCAAGGCTCCCACTCATCGTCTTCTTCAGTGTCCCGAGGCACGGTGACAGTGACCCAAGGCTCATCGTCCTCTTCGGCATCTACCTCGACGTCGTCCACGACTGATCGGCGAGCCCCGGGCACGGCTGTCGTTCCGTCCTCATGAACATACTCGGTAAAGGTTTGTGTGATTGTCGTTATGCATCTCGTCCCGGTCGAGACGGACGTCCCGTATGCCGTGGTGAACGGCCCGCCATTTCCTGTGTTTGTCAGAACGGGGTTGGGTGTAGGAGAACTCACACCTGGGTTGGCCGGACCATTGCCAGTCGCCGTGGGTTGGACAACGGACTGCGCTGGCGACGAAGCAACCGGCCCCGGATTGTTGACAGTGTTTGACGGAGCCGGTGCCACTGTCCCGCTTGCCGTAGTACTGCCAGAGATTATCGCCGCCAACTGCCGCTCGATGGACTGGATAAGCTTCAGAAGATCTTGAAGGTCTTGCGCAGATATCGAGACGCCACTGGTCTGCCGCTTGACGATGGTTGTAGTTTCCTCGGTTTCGGGTTTACGGTGACCACCGCTCCAGTTACGCAAAAAGTTATCCAGCTGACTGTTCAGATCCTCCGCGGCTTGGCTCAGAGTTTGGAAATCACTTGCTGAAAGCTGGTTAGAATCGGCATCGCTGGTTCGTCCCCGGAGAATTGCGCCGGACGCGCCCTGGAAGGCGACGTGTAAAGCGACGCAGACGTAAAGAATTTTGCTGATAAGATGCATCTTGGAATGTTTAGGGTAAGAGATGGTTTCTCTCTCAAACAAGGTCTCGAGACTTCTCGAGACTTCTCGGGCTCATGATATAGCTAGGTGGCGGCGCACACAATGTAAACATAGCAACGCATTCCAGAAGACTGTTCGATGGTCGCTGATGCAGATGCATTCCAAAGGTAAACCATCCCTCGGTCATTGACGGATCAACGGCGACCGTGAGTAAGGGGAAACAACGCTTGTTTCTTTCCAAGAATTGACGTCCAATACCAAAGTAGGCAATCTGCAGCTCGGGCAATCCATAGCCTGGGCCACTGTCCCTCTCTTTGGTCTTTTCCATGGCTTGCGGCGGTGATGGATGATCGGAACGGGCAAGCAATCGCACGGCTAGACTGGCCGTAGTGACGAATGCGCCGTCGCCGGAAGATGTTCTCCTGGTTGTGGAGCGCTGCATGTGCGGTGTTTGAATTCGAGGATGCACGCACAAGCCTGGCTTTGGAATGGCGACGATGCAGGTTCCGCTTCCTGTCAGTGGCGATGATCCGCTGTCGGGCGACACTCGGCACCTGGAGCAGCTCAATCATCCTGAGAAGACAGTCAAAGACAGGATAAATCTTGGCGTTGGAGGATGTCGTTGTTGAATGTCGATGGCGGTTGCACGGATCTGATGAAACGAGGCAATCTGCTTAATTACACGGGTTGGCTGTCTTGTGCTTCTCAGGTATCTGATGGCACTTGGATGCTTTCCCCAAACAGCTTGCCGGGGGGTTGGCGGATGAAGACACACGCCGATTGAATGTTACTTGGTTGGAGAACCATCATTGGACTGGCGATGACCAGGTTCGGCGTGCTGTGAAACGGAGGAGCCTTTCTTCCTTCATTCGTGTGGCATTGTACGTTTTTGTATGGGTTGATCGGAGTTGAGCTCTGACCTCATTTCCATTCAGGCTTGCACCACCCGGCCTTCCACTTCTGTTGGTCTCGGGATGGGTTGTTTGGGATCTCGAAGCACGATTGGCTCTCGCCATGTGGGATTGAAGTTGGGGTTGGAAGCATTTTTCGAACCCATTTGACAGGGAAGTGAGGCCACGGCAGACGCGGAAGTTCTCGCTGGCCCCCTTTTTTCAATGATTAGGGCTTCCCGAGGTCCAGTCTCACGAGGTTCTATCGGGCGCAGTAGGTCGAGAAGCCGATGTAATAAGATGCATCTTGATAACCATGTCGCTGAAAATTCATGATGCCAGAAGAACCTCAAACTAAATAGTCCATGCAGGTGCATCGTGGGACGTGATGTGACCTCTTTCATGACTTGTCCGGCGTCGAAATGAGGAAGGCAGGTTGTGAGGTGCCTCCAGCCATCAGCCCTTCTTATCAAAGCCCGTAGAGGGTCCAATTTGGACGTGGTGCAGATGCAATCGGCGGTCGCAAGGTGTCCATCTCGGATCGGCCTGGCAGTCGTTTTGCTGGTCCTTTCCTCAAAGTGCATGCACTGGCATTAAGCCCATCCTGTCATGATTACTCGTGTTTATAAAATAAGATACGCAGCTTGTCACTTCGTATGCTGACAATTGTCCATCAGCGTCCATGGTCTTCTGATGCAGCAGGAACAAGTTGCTTTTGGAAGGCGAAAATGATGACAGGAGAGATCCCAGGGTGACTAAGGTTCGGGCCCCAACGAGGGATTCAAGGGAATTCCAGGCTCGGCCGGAAGCCTGCAGGTCGCCATCACCAATTCAGAGTTCTGGGCCGACCTGGACAAGTATCGTAGTGCGCCAGCCAAGCGCAGACCTGGGCCCATCGGGTCTGATGAGGATTTGTTAGTTTGAGACTTGAAATTCTGTCACCTTGATCCTCGCTCGCCGACCTATTCGTGCCACCGCGAGTACCGACAAGCCGTAGATCCCGTAGTAAATTTTTTTCCTTGCATGGCGTTTACGCACAAATTCCGAGTCGCAGTCTTTGGCAGCCTTCTCAGTGTGTCTGGAAATAACCGTACCGCATGGGAAAGGTCGGAGGATGAAATGTGCTGGAAGCATGGTGCAGGATGCATCTATCGCTCACGAGCGGAATAAAATAATGTCCCGAATGCCCAGCGACCAAGGCGGGCTGATTGTGTCATGGAGCTGAAGGCTGAGGGAAATAATCTGCGATAGTACATAAAGTCTGAAAGGGTCATGGATCATCGGCTGGTGAATTACTGGGACGTAGTGTGTGGAGATGCAAAGGTAGTGTTCTATCGTCAATCTTCGAGTCAAGCGTTGCCCAAATGGGTAATAGACTGCTGGACCTTGTCGCGAGGTGTGAAAGTAAAGTGTTTCGCTTTTGGCCTGGCAATTGAAGGAGTCGGGATGAATGGATGGGAGGATGCGGATAGATGATGGACGTCCGCCTGAGGCACGGAGATGCGCAGAATGTGAGGGAAAGTCAAGGACTGGGCCGGGGAAAGGACGGGAATCATTACGGACGGTCGTGACGAGAAGAGATGAAGGCAATAAGGGGAGAAGAGGGGGAAGGATGGTGTGGTGGGTGTGTGCGTGTGCGTGTGCACCTCTGTGTGTGTCTGGAGTGGATATTACTGAGGTGAGCTTCTCATCCCGAACGTCCTGCTGAAGCCAGAGGTGACGGGAGGTGAGATGGCGAAATGGGGAAAGGGGTAATACTTGGAAGGGAACAAATGTAGAAATCTGTGCGAAAATGCAGCAAGACAGACAGCCCGGCATGCCTTCCACACGCATCGTCAAACCAGGCCCAGAGCAAGCACGGAAAGTCCACGTTTTTGGTGGCCCTGGTATTGGGATTGATTGACGTGAGGGAGCGCGGTGCGTGGATGGCCCCCCGGCCGACGGACGGAGGGTGCCGAGATACGTATCTTGCCTTATTAAGGTACCCTACCCTTCCATGAGTGTTCACTTCAAGTTCGTGCTTTATTAGGAGGTATTCCATACTCCTGAGAAGGTAGGTTGCCCAGAGTCCCAGACAGCTAGCTGCACATAAAATGGTAATGAGGGACTTGGTCCATGACCCATGGTCCAAGAATGGTCCGAGATCCTTGGATGGCAAGGACGAAACTTTGCCTTGCGGCTTCCCTTGGATCCTGAGGGACTTCAGAGTGAGATCTTGGATACCTTACCTACCTAGGTGGTGGATGGATGATGGATGAATGTAATGTACCTTTGTACCTCTGGAAGGGGGAGAAAAATCCACCCGTGCATCCCTTTCCGGTCACGGCCCCCCCAGGTTACTGGTCAGGTCTTCCTCTCGCTTACCCACAACTGCGGCGCTGTGGCAGGTGCGCGAGAGGAAGCGAAAGCTGGAGGTCAATTCTTGAGCGCGGGTGAGAGAGAGAAACAGGAGCCCAGCACCACGCACCACGCACCACGCACCCAGCACCACCGCGCACCCAACCCAGGCAGCATGAGAACCGTTTATTGTCACGCCGCCTGCTCTGGCGCTCTCTCGAAAATGAGACGCCAAACTTACCAGATGGATTCCCCCATAAAATAAAAATTCTCTGTCCCCCTTCTCATCAACCCTTCCACCCTCCCGTTCCATCCATCGCCAAACCCCCATCGCCCATCACCGCCTTGCCTCGCATCGCCGTCGACTGTGCGAGTCGCCGACGCGAAATAATCTGCCACCCACGAGAGAGACAGATCGCACCGCACCGCACCCAGAAGAACCAGAACCAGAACCCGCACCGCACCGCACCAGCTCACAACCAAAACCAAAACCAACCCAACACACACCACCGCCCAAAACCTTGCCCAGTCCTTTACCCACCAGATCACAACTCGCGGCCCATTGGATCCCCGGCCCGTCCGCCACCCCATTCATCAAAGCAGCTATCTCCGACAAAGCCATTACTACCTACTAAGCTTCCTGACGCCGCGCCGCCAATCTTCCAACTCTTCACCCATCCTTTCCACTCTTAACCAAACTTCGCCCTCACCACCCAATCCATCATCACACAACCCGCCCAAATCCATCTCGAAATGGCACCTACCGCATCCGTCAGTCGACGCAAGTCCAATGGAGGCAAGGGCGGCCTCGTTATCACCCTTACTGTCGACGCCGACAAATTGAAGCGGACCCTTGATCCCGACTATGTAAAGGAAGACTCGCCGGCCAAGATGGACGTTGAGGAGACGAACGGAAACAAGGAGACACAAGAAGCGCAAGATTCTCCAGCCACATCGGCCACCTTGCCAGCTCCTGCCGTCACAAATGGCGAGACGGCGTCCGACTCAAATCCCGGCACGCCTGCTGGCGATGGAACTCCAGCACCCACATCCATGGGTCCTCCTACCGAGGGAGTCAAGAAGAAGGGTACCAAGCGTGGTGCTGGTGCTGCCAATGGCCTCGGCCCTGATGGACAGCCCAAGGTCCGCGGCAAGCCTGGACCCAAGAAGAAGGCGAGACTGTATGTGTACCCATTTTGCCCGCTGCCTACCTACATCGACTCCTTGCTAATGATATCATTTGTAGTGAGGATGGAACAATCGACCCGAATGCCCGTGGCGGTGCTGGCGGACATAAGCTGGGTCCCAAGGCCAACCAAGGTGCCATCAACGCCGGCCTACGAGCTCTCGATCGAAGCGGCAAGCCCTGCCGCAAGTGGGCGAGGGGCGGCTTCGTCCTCAAGAGCTTCACAGGTATCGTCTGGGAGGTTCCTCGATGGACCGCGCCACCCAAGTTCGTGCCCGAGTCCACCACCGAGGACTCTGCCGCCGCCTCAGCCGACAGCAGCACCAAGGAGAACAAGGAGAATGACCAAATCAAGAGCGACGCTAATAGTGCCGTCAACAGCGGCGCCGACGTCGAGATGCGGAGCGCACCCGGCAGCGTTCCGGCTAGCTCTCCGGCCCCAATGGCTATCTCTGCCGCGTAGTAGCTGTGTCCCTGCTCGCGACATTTCTTTTTGGTCTGGGGGCGTTGGGACGTCGAGGAAGGCCCTCGACACATGTTCCGAACAGCTTAGGAGTTACAAGGATTAGGAGGGAAAATTGATCGCG